CTCGGCATGGGATGAGCAGTAACTCTAAGGGAGCTATATGAGAAGTTTTCTTTGATTCAGTGGACTAAATATGTCGTTATCATTGATGAATGACATTACCGTCATTGCATTTTTATTTGTTTTTCTCTATTATTCATTAACATATATTTGTGATTGATCACACAATGTAGCGGAGCCTGATAGCGAACTGCTTGACTTACCACTTAAAAATTTCTACAAAACTACTTTATTTGGTTTTATGATATATGATACTTTTCTATTACTTTTTACATGAATAAAGCTTCAGATTTACTCATGAACTCATAATTATCATTAACATGAACTGTTGTTTGATCACAACTTGTTGCATCTTAAAAAAATGATTAGGTTAAATCCTTCACATTTAGCATTTATGTTAAAGGTTTATTACCATTTTGCCTGTGATTGCTTCTTTTTTAAACAATCAGTCGAGTGACCAGCAATCTATACTACTGCTAACCAATATTGGTTATTATACTACATAAATATGATAAGTACATTGTCTGTTTAAATGATTTCAAATTCAAATTCTTTATTTGTTTACTTCACAACTTTTGTTTAACCAACATTTTAAAGTACAACCATCACTCGGTTGAGTTAAAAGACTACATTAGACCTATGTGGCAGAATAATTATGATAGATGATCTTTTGTCATGATAAATGACCCCCTTCCAAATATGTTTCTGACGACACGTTTTCATTTTTCACAACAATCTTTAGCTCATCAGAGAAGCTTAAATTTCATTTTCATAGTAAGCACTTGTTGAATTTCGCTTTGTGCTCAACATTGATAAGTATATACCTATTCTTCTAAGAAAAAGCAATACACAAATACCTGTTAAAATGTAAATTGTTATGATTTACTTTATAATGAAATAGTAGGAACATTGTGGTTCTAATATAACCATAGTTTTTTAAAAAACAATTTGAATGCGTACTACACTCTTGTTCCTACAGATACTGGTTTCAAAAACAATTTACCTATATAGAATTGTTAGAATGAAACCACCATCCAATGCTTCCTGGTTTTCAGTGGTGGTCCAACACTGTTCCGTTCATCATCTCATTTGAAAATCAGCAACCTTCAAAATTCCATACTCATACTTTATTTTTGCTCACGATATCGGAAACACATTACTCAAACTTTTGAGCATACGCAATAACATTATCTAGATAAAAAAGATATTGGACAGAGAGTAACTCTACTGCTCATAATGCTCATTAAATTGTTGTAAGTGGGATGTTCGGTGTGAATAGCAGTGCGTCTAACAATAAAATAAAAGCTGCTCTATTTTATCTTGCAGTCGCATTTCTACAAGATAATACATAGAAGTTAGACCGAGTACTGAAACTGCTCTGTACTACCCAATGGGTCCGGCGTGGTATGTATACGGCATATTGGAAAGAAACCTTACCAGGGAAGTACGTTAAGTCAAAGGTAGTTAACACGGAATCGAGATGAATTATCCTTTCAACTTATTCATTCAATCAGAGATTTTCATAAATTGTTTTTGTTCACCCATTTTTCAACATATCATTACCCAAAATTTTTTATTGGGGTTGATAATGAATTAGCGTCCTCTAATAATGCTATTTGTCAGGCTCGTGGCCATATGTTTCAATCTCATAATGGACAGTTTCAGTTTCTCTAGATCCGGCCTCCTTTCGGAGACTTTCTCAAACTACTGCTGTAGAAACAAAGCATTACTTCCAGCCTGACCGTCTTGCTTTTAATTAAATAGAATCAAACTTTTTATGAAAGATAGTAGACCATACGAGGAAGGATATGAGAGTAAAAAGAGTAAGAAAAGTTATTGTGGAGCACTAGCTCCAGCAAGTATGGAGGTAGAATCACTTTCAGGAAGTGCAGTATATTCGATCAGGTTACTTATTACGGGAACGGGGTGCAAATCACTCATGTCTGACCACTCCTTGGACGTAGATAACTATGTTCTCTTTTGAGCTGACAGACTACATGCAATAGGAGGCGGTAAGATTATCCACGTTCTGTCGAATATTCAAGCGTTTAAATTTGAAAATGAATGTCTTGACGCTACAGATGACTCCACTTGGTCTGCTGTCAATTGTGGACTGCAAAAGTATCTACTGGTGGTATGCATATACAGACAACCGCATTCGAAAGCTAACTTTGACAAGATTCCGGCAACAAGTATTATCACCAGATGCCAACAACGGAAGTTGGAACCTCTCTGGGTCATGTGCATTAAATTAAACCTTGTCTTTATCCACCAGCTTGTAAATAACATTTTCTATTCTTCGGTATCCTGTGACGGAGTAACAAAGGGAAGGGTATTGCCTTAAAATACGCATCTAACATATTTTTCACCTTTTCCCCAACTAAACATGATGTCATAATGCAGGATAGCAGCATCGTACAATGAACTTTTTCTCATTTATGAGCAAACTACTATGAATAGGTAACTTTATTTAGTTCAGGCTGAAGTGAAAGCAGCTATGCTCCCTCCATCGTTATGAGAAAAAATATGGTCACTGCTGTAATCCTAAAGTTTACATAATTATTACTTGACATATCGCTTATTTTTTCCGCAATATTGATAAAAAACTGGTTGTGAAAGACTTTCTAGGGATGTACGTTAAAGAACGACATAACACACCAGCGAATTTTTTAGAGAGTTTGAATTGCTGTTTTCCTTGAAAAACTCCGTTTATGAGCCAGTAGTTTGTTCAGGTGTTACTGAGGTCACTTTACTGAGACGAAAAACAGCAAAACAGAATTTAAGATATTTTATGACATCATTTGTGTCTAATAATGAGTCACTTGTTTATTAATCTTTTCTAATCATTCAGAAAATGTTGTTTGATCCTGTGTGTTTAACACTGAGAGGTTTGTGCATCTGGCTGCCATCTGGGAGAAGTATGTACTCCAATTGAGCTTCTCATATATTTAGGATGAATCCGAATCATGCGATAATCAGAATTCAGCAGAGGATCACCTTTGCCGCTGTTCTTAATTTTCAAAAGCAAACAACATGTAAGCATTTGACGTTGACATCAGCCATACTGGTTTTAATGAACACATCAGTTGATTAATACGCTCGATCAAGCATTCTTGCCAAATCACGATTGAGTTCTTGGTTTAACTTACTCTGAAAATTAGACAGCTTAGAAGTTAGACACTAAGATACCCATGACCTCAATATACATATTATAACCTCCATTACTTTCTCTTCTAGTTGTCCGATGAATGTTTCATCAGGAAGGAGAAAAAAATTTGTATCAAGTATGACGTTGACTTATTTAAAGGTCCGCTCATACAAATCATCCCTCACGATATGACTGGTGTCACCGTGTTTAAAGGTGGGTGACTAAAGGGACTCGTAGACTTTGTCGTAGATTCAACTGAAAGCGAGCTATGTTAAGTCCTGCCTTCACTATAGGTACGAGATGTAAACCATAGAATTGTTTTCTCATAAGCTTAACCGGAAAAGTTGTCAAGATTCTGGAGAAAACTATTCGCAAGTAGTTCTTTAAGTATCTAGATAAAAATACGATTTATTTAGAAGAGCAACACAGCTTTAGAGAATGGTGTTTATGTATCACGAACTCATTGGTAACTCGAGAAATATGCTGTGTCAATAAAAGTTAAAAGTTAACCGTACATAGTGTTCATTGACCATAGTGTGGCTTTTTATAAAATTCCACACGGCTGGCTGTTATCTATGTTGAGTGACATCTAAATTTGGCATGACATACTCATGTGGATAAACGGTTTTTAGATGTACGGAAACAAAGAGTACACATTAACTGTAATTTGCTTAGTGAAGTTGTAGCGTGGCGTCGAGTCGAAATTGACTATAAACACCGCTATCAGGAAACACGTGCCAAATAAATCAGAAGGCGAAGGTTGGACGTAACCAAATAGATCCATAAAATCCCCGAGAAGCCAAATACCAGAAGGCAATTAATGGACCAAGTCGAGGTTTATTTGCTGGCGATCTCGTGGCATCGAAAGGATACCGAGATCGTGCCAGAATACAAGCTTGGTTACAGAACGTAACCGAATTCGCACGAAGTTACAATCAAAGTGTAAGAATAAGAATGGAAGTACAATATAGCTGTCATTAGCACAGTCAAACAAAAGCACATTAAAACAGTCACTGGTACACTCGGTTATAATAATAAGCGTATTTATTAAACTAGTCGTGTTCTCGTGATAAATGTGAGTCACTACAAAGTGTCCCAAGATACAGCCTCAAGACCAGTATGCAAATGGCCTGTCTAGTCAGCTTTCCAGCTGGCTTGTTCACATTATTGTTAATAATGAACTTTCGTCCCAAATGCCATCCGTTTTCTTGTCTTCCAAAGAGAGAATTTATGAGGCGTACTAGAAAAGTAAAGATGCTACAGGTATTCGGAGTTTGACAACGCCTTGACCAGTAACACCTTTTGTAATCAAAATATGTCAACCCAGTCAGATCGGAATTCAGAAGCGAAGATGTTCGAAGATATATTTGATAGGCTATCGAACTATCGAGAAATGATCAATCTAAGCTGGTTAGCGCTTGCAGGAGATGTGAAGCACGGCGTACCCACTCGTGATCTGGTGTGGATGCCTAACCATGAGCCCTCAGCCATGTGAGTCCAATAAAACTCATGTGGTCAACATCAAATGTCGTGGACCCACAGAACTCTTCGTTTTGGGGATTTATTTACCACTACTTAAGTTCACAAGACCAGAGTCAGTTGCTTACCAATTGACTATCGACTTTATGATAAATCATCAACGAATAAAACCCATTTTCTCAAAACCCGATTAGAGCCTCTTCCATCAACACGCTCAAGCAAAATTCAGAAGAACTTCTGGATTCCAATCAGTGGGTTATAACAGACCACCCAAACTTCTGTCCTTACCAAACTGAAACTGAACACTGATTTACAAGCACTTCTTTAGAGTTTGTTTCATATGCCTAAACCGATATGTGCAGAGAATAGCGATTAAATGTTACTAGACTCGTTTGATGAAAACCACTTCAACGCTGCCCACCACCACTTGAACTATTTTTATAGCCAGTACAACGACCCGCGTCTTTCAACCAAATACCTTTCGGCCTTGTCGGTCGTGGGGCATTTCTGCTCATTTCGAGGTGATTGGAATGCTAAAAGATTTGTACCTGATATAAGAATACCTTAGACTTGTTAAAAAGCATTTTATTATTTTTTCGCCAACTTAACCAATATTTACGAGTCTTGTTTCACATGTTTTCAAAAGTGAAATCTATGACGGTTAAGGCAATACATATTTGTATCTGAAGTTACATTGAGTATGTTTTCTTTTTTACGGCTTCCTGTGCTTGTTCCTAGCTCTTGACTTCAGGCGGGACAACTTTGGGTTTAACGCTAAGTTGTAGAATTCTAATCAACGTTGATCACTGGGAATTCGAGTTGTAAGCCGACTGAAGTTTAACGTATTTTCGACGTATCAGTAAGAACATCTAAAATCCTCAGGTTTCAATATTGGAACTATGTTTATAAGAGGCAAATATGTTTCATTTGTCTTTTGACGAGGAAACGTTTTGAATTTTATATCCCATATATGTAAGACCACATTTAGAGTACTGTATCCAAGCAGCTAGCCCGTGTCTGGTAAAAGATACTAACTCCCTTGAGCGTGTCCAGCGTGTGGGCACGAAATTAGTGAAGGGTCTTTCTAGACTCCCTTACGATGAACGTTTAAAACGCCAAAATCTTTTCCACTTGTCGTATCGTAGGACACGAGGTGACCTTATACTGGCGTTTCGTATCTTTAATTATGATTTGGGTGTTAATATGTCCTATCTTTTTGCTCCCTCCAGCACTAATAATCTCCGAGGTCATAGCAAGAAGGTTCATAAACCACGATCTTATGAACTTAAAGTGGGATCCCGTTTTTCTCATCGAGTAGTCAATGACTGGAACGCCTTACCCGAACAAGTAGTATCAGCCTCATCGGTGAATACTTTCAAGGAGAAGCTGGACCTTCACTGGAAAGCAATGTGTCAGGATTAATACAGGTTCATCAACCTACTATCCTTATTACTGAAGACTGAAGGTCCTTCCAGTGATGTATAACATGTAGAAAGTTACTCACCCCCGTTACTTACCATAATTTTGAATAGCATTCTAGAAGCGATGTCGTACAGGATATTCGTTAACTTATGTTAATCAGTGGCTTGCTTACACTGTTCCAGCACAGACTAAATAAAATGTAAATGTAGAACATTACCGGATGTTGTGCTTATGTTCCCCACTGGAAAATGTGTTTATGAACAAGCATATTGGTAGTTGATAGAATTTCGATAGATAGGATCTTTTTGTAAGGGTACAACTTATTTTTGGACTCAGAATCACTGCATAAATCCAGCTGTATAAAGTCGTGATAAGTTCAGTTATGTTCTGCCAGCCTAAACTGTGGTGTGCTTAATGGCTGTGCCCGACAACTGTTCCCGTAGCATTCATAAAATCTGGTAAAAATAATCAAATTGTGGTTTTATGTTCATGACAGGCCACTTTTCAAGTGAATTTGGTGAGTCGGATTTATCATCTAATCAGTTTAAGTCACTGTGTTTGCAACCCTGACAAAAATATGATTCGAAATTCAGAAAACAGATAAGTTGGTTTAAATTAACTTCATTTCTACTGGCATAAACATACTCCTGTGTCTTTCATATAGCGGCTTTTGAAATATTTTGGAAAATACAAATCATGTGATACTAAATACAACATATCAAATCGGTACATCCGAGTAAAAAGGAATTGTCACGATCTAAAGCTCGAATAAGTTGATAGTTCGCTTGGGCAGTTTAGCTGAGAAGGTTGGTTCAGTACTCAACGATTTTTGTTCATTCGCTTTGTGTGCTATGAATTGTAACTGATTAAGTGCGTTTGCATCTTACAGTTTATTGCCTTCTCAAGTCATCCTCTCCCGTCTATTAATCAAAGGATAACCTTTTATGTGCGTATTCACTTTCCTGCCCGTAATCCTCATATTTTGTACGTTTATCCTGTGTATATAGTTCAACGTTGCAGTATGCTGTCCTTACGAGCTTTGAAGACTTTGCGACTTCAGTACATCACTCGGAAGTGTTTATATACTTCAGCATTACGCTATCAAAACCCTACCTCCAGTGAACCGTTTTTAAATGGAACTTCATCCAATTATTTAGAAGACATATATGAAGCATGGCTTCGAAACCCTGATAGTGTGCACAAGGTATTTATTCAAGCTTATTGGTGACAGTTAGTCATGGGACATTTATTTTAAATGTTTAGCTTCTGGAGCTGCCCCAGGAAATGCTTACGTTCAACCACCTACTTTGGGTAAAGAAGGTTTGAAATTGGCACAGTTAGCCCCACAAATCGCTGCACAGGCAGTGACACCGAGTCTTAAAGCTATTGAAGACCACCTCTGTGTTCAGGCCATAATCCGTTCGTATCAAGTGAGTCCCGTAGCTTAAATTTTATTGTTGTATATATTTAGGATATTTTTTATGCTGATTCATTAGTATCTCACATTCTGTGAATGCGAACAGTTTTGTGTTGGCATTCAGTAAGTGCGGTATGTAAAAAAATTTTCATTGCATATGATAGTTCACCAATAATCGTATTATTTACGGTCACCTTATTGAGTTTTAAACCTAAACCTCTAGTGTTATTACAAAAGTCATTACAGAAGCAAATGTTTTTTGTTTTACATTTTGAAGTCCTACTTACAAAAATGAATCCAGAACGATACGACGCTTAATTTTTAGTACCAATTTAGTTGTTTTTATTACTGCCTCCAATTATCTCTGGTAAACTATCAAAACTTTGATGTAATTCTAATTGGAATTACTCAACGTCTATCATTCCTTACCACAGTCATCGGCTACCATGGGACTGCATCTCCTGACGTTGCTCCATTGCCTTGTGGATCGAACCTTTAGGTCGAAGGCTCCGGGTGTGCCCCGTAAGGAAACCACTTGCTTCAGTTTGGGCACCTGGGCAGTACCACAGCCCACATACAAATCAAGTGGCGTGTTTTGAGCATATGTATTCGATGCCCCTTTGTACCAATATTCAAGTGTTCAAATAAATAAAACACTGAGATAAGCAATCAGATAACAGGTAAGTAAACACTACATCATCGTTTTTTACAAACGTGGTTAATGATGTAGGATAAGAAGACTAATTATCTTCAGTTTCAGATTACTACTAAACTATCTTAATTAACACCCATCCCCCCCAAAGGATGCATATAGCTAGATTTTCTTACTTCTGTTCAAAGAAAATGTGTACAGTCAGTCTGCGCGCTTTGTGAAGAAATATAGGGGACCTCATCTGATAAAATATGCGACAGTGTTAAGAATAACTAGGAAAAGGGAAGTAGAAGGATTCGGTTTAAGAAAACACAGATATTTACCTACACATTTAAGCAGGTCACTGGATAACCTTGTACTTAAACTAGGAAAAAACCTATGATTTGATCCTTAAAGCTCTATTGTCACAAGTGTTTAGAAATCATCTGTGTTTCTTCTGATAGCTACAATAGTTTGTTTAGATTTCTAGCAAACATAATACTTGTTCTAATCGCTAAATCAATCTTTTAAAATGTGTAAATATTATGGCTTGTAGAGATGAATTGTTGTTGAGGCTTGAAGATCGCTACGATAGTCACTTTAGACATTAATTCACTTCGAGCCTTTAGGGTGACGGCTTTTACTCCTTTTAATATTATGAACATCTGGTTTCATCTATTCACCTATACTTTGTGAAATGTAACGAAGTAAGATATATTTTACTGGATCAAATCAATTTTGGTAAGTCCACAAATATCGTATATTGTGTTGATGCTTGACTAAACGTTTGAAGCGTTGTTCAGTCTCTAGGTCATCGCATCGCCGATCTTGACCCATTGGGGATATTGTCTGCCGATCTGGATGATTCTATACCCCCCGAGTTGTCGTTGAGTTTCTACAACCTTGGTAGGTTGATCTTAAGAGCGGTTTTATTTATCTTTGGACAGTTTAATTTTTGCCATGTTTTATATTGATTTTTCACGTGTCTCGTATGTATTAGATGCGTGGTCATCTTGCTGCGCATCTAGATCCTTTAGGTATTACGTCTCCAGAACCCGGCATAGCCAGACACATTGTTTATCAAAGGTACCTAGGTGATAAAAGTAAGTCTGTTAGATATGTTAGGTCAGCGTTGTTCAGTCTTAGCTTGTAAATTTGTTTAAAGTTGTTTTGTGTCCGTATGATCTCTTATTAATGAAAACGATAATATTGCATACGGTTCGACTGTTTACAATTATCATACATGTTGTTTTAAATATCGCCGGATATTATAAAAAGCATGCTTTTTCTTTACAGTAAAGATGCAGCGTCCTGATAAATGCTAAGCAAGGACTGTAATTTTAGGTATTTCAACTGCCTAATTTCAACTATTTAAATAAGCATCCCGAATTTGTTTGTATGAAAGCTTATTATTACTGTTCACACATACCAAAACTTTGGAATCTAGGTTTGTGTTTCGGGTTGGATTTTGTAGATCGTCTCCATTGGATCTAATTCTGTTGTGTTTTTTTTTACGATAAATAGTTTAATTTGACTTTCAAAATACACTTCATGAGTTCAGAAGTGAAGACTAGTATTCAAAATCGTCAGCTTGTTGTACTTTCGTCTAGATGTTGTAATATCGGTGCATGCTGTGAATGGAAGTTTATTTTGTTTGTTTTCTTATGGGTAACTGTTTTAACGATTATTATTCGTAATTGTCACCAATTTTAATCAGTCTTTTGTTGTTTACAGGCGAGCCCGACCTGGATAAGACGTTTAGGCTTCCACCTACCACACACATCGGAGGTGATAAGCAGGAACTTACTCTACGAGAAATCATTAGGCGTTTAGAGGTAAATTTTCGGTAACAACATTATTTTGATGTAGAGTAATAACTTTTAATTCTGGATTGGTATTTTTATTATATATTGGTAGTTCGGTAACTAATAGACTTAAGTTTTGTTGTTCAAACGAGAATCTTTTTCGAGTTACATATAATTACGATAAAAGCCAACTTGAAAACTGTCGACTGTTAACGAATTTTTGAGTAGATGTAAAATAATTTTGGTTCATTTCATCAAAATTCGTCTACGATTCGAAAAAATTATTGGTTTCTATTTATGGTAAGTCTAATAATATAGCTTTGAGTTTGTTGGGAATGAAATGGACTTTTACAATCATTAATATTAACAAGTGCAACATTTGTTGTACGATAATCCAATTAGTGTCATCATCTTGAAATATCGACTTCGGTGGCTTGGACATGTTCTACGAATGTCGTCCCAGAGAATTCCACGTCGTGCATTATTGGCCGACGCTAGGACTGGTTGGATAAAACGGAGAGGTGGTCAGTGTATGACATGGTGTCGTGGTATGAAAGAAATCTGCAAAGGGCTGGCTTCTGTTGGTCCTTCACGACTCCCTGGCTGGGATCCGAGAGATGGTGCAGTGGCTAGAGACGTTATCAGATATGGCTCAGAATAGAAGCCAGTGGCGATCCTGCTGTAACCTTCTCTTACTTTCTTCATAAAAAGTGGTTGTATCTTCCTTAACTGAAAGAATTCTTCTGGTTATACCTTTCCGTTTCCCCCATTATTATTATTATTATTATTATTATTATTGTTATTATTATTATTATTATTATTATATTACTTTACACTAATCTGTGGTTGTTATTGTTCTTCTTTTCCCTATACGCACCTTACCCTCTTTTTTCTCTTCGAATTCTCATTGTTTTGAGTGGCGCATATATATTTGGTGCTCCCTTGTACCAATATTTGTGTGTCCAAATAAATAAATATTAACAAGTTCATTTGTCATTGATTTTCTTAATTTCCTCCAGTTTTGATATATCATGACGGGACTGTTGAACCATTGAACTGTTAACATTTTAAGCTTATATTTAAGATAATGTTTAAATTTAATGAAGATTGAATTTTGAGAAGTCATTCCTCTTATACTAGTTTTATTTTGTTTTTGAAATATTTTCATATTAATTTCAGAATGTTTACTGCAAACATATTGGTATTGAGTATATGTTTATTAATAGTTTAAATAAATGTGATTGGATAAGACGTAAATTTGAAACACCCGGTTCAATGGATTTATCAATTGAAGAGAAACGTTTAATATTAGCTCGTCTTGTTCGTTCAACGCGTTTCGAATCATTTTTAGCAAAGAAATGGAGTTCAGAAAAACGTTTTGGACTTGAGGGATGTGAAGTTTTAATACCAGCAATGAAAGCTGTCATTGACTCTTCGTCTGCGCTTGGTGTTGAAAGTTTTGTAATTGGAATACCACATCGGTTAGTCTTGTTGTTTTACTATTTTGTTAGATTGTCTTTGAAGACTGCTGATTACGTGTATATTTCTCAAGGAAATTATATTATTAGTTGTTACTGTTTATTGGTCCTCATCAAGGAAATGAATTACTCTCAATGTTTTGATCAAACTACAATAATTAGTTATTGGTTATTGTGACACACTAGTTACTACCGTGTCATGCTCATGACTACGTGACAGTACTTATGTATTTAGGTCATATTGGCTTGAATACTTCAGTTTTCATCAGGTTGTTTAAAAAAGCATTTTATGCCATTCAGCATTCACTGTTACAGTATTAATAAGTATTCTATTGTGGTGGAGATTTATACCGTTAACATACATCTACATGGAAGATGATTAGCTTACTGGTTATTTTTTTAGTAATCGTTACTTGTGAATGCTCAAATCTATTAGTTTATTGCAACTTATTGGATATACATCAGAATTTTGTACTAAAACTAATTGTCGGTTGTATACAAATATTGTATACCAATGCCAAATATCAGTCTAACTTTTTTAATGATTATTTCAAATCTCAACTTTATTATTAACCATGAGGTGTTCTATTTGAAACTCATGAAATTAACAATTTATTAATAAATTTGTAAAATTTGATGGAGTTGTGGACAAATGACATTAGTTCAAATGTTGGAAACTAATTGACACAGGTATCTTTTCTAATTTAGTATATTTCATTATCCATAGACGTTCAAGTTTGTAACTGAGCATATGATAGCAATGAAATTTGTATTCCTATGTTAGCTTATTCAAACAGTCAAAATGATTATGAACTTATATAAATGTTATGAAAAAGTTATAAACAGCTAGAAGCAATTAGTCCCTCTGATAAATTTGGATAGTGCAATAAGAAGACATGGTTCTGGTAATCTTTGTTTTCTTATCACACTATAAACAGTTTATGAACTTTATGACGTGTCGATACATTTTTTCTCTTTACTATTCTCAATATTATTTATATTTAAGCCAGTACAATCGTAGCATTTTTCCTTATTTGTTATGTCACTGGTTGAAATCATGAGTCAATTGAAGGTAGACCACCATGGGAAACCTGGAAGCACTGGACGGCCGTTTCGTCCTAGTATGGGACTCCCCGGCAGTGCGTATTCACGATCCCGCTCCCCGCGAGATTCGAACCCAGGGCCTGTCAGTCTCGCGCCAGGCGCTTAACCAACTAGACCACTGAGCCGGCATCTAACAGTGTTAATGTCTAACTTCAACCAATTTAATGTATTTGTCTTTTATTGAATAATACTTTTATGTGTGAAACTTATATTTGAAACAATCTCAGCGATTGAAATTTAGAATAATTTGAACATTTCATCCAGCTAACTTATCTGAACTTCTTCAGGGTAATAATCAAAATCATCAAAGAAATATCTAGCGTTTTAACAAATCAGATCAAATCTATACTGTGCTAATCCAATCATATTTAGATTCTGACTTTAGTAAATAGGATAACATGAGTCAATTAAATGCGAATCATGTGAAAAGTTCACGATGTGAAAATAAATGACTGAATGAATTGTGTGTGCATGTATAAGATTGAGTTATTAATGAATGATATTCGGTGTTAATGTTTTTATATGAAGGAAAAATAAAAGTGCAATTTGAATTATTGATGTGCATGTGAAATGAAAATAATCAAATACATAATTGTATTGCTAAAATAATCCACATTAATTTCGGTTTGAATAACGATGCATGTGAAATAAATAGGTTGGATAGAGAAAGGGTCTAATTACTTGTTAACGAATATTTGCCAAGTAGTTGCTAGCTGAATACCATCCTTTCTGTTCAGGCTGTTCTTGTTCCCCCATATACACAGCGCTTCGGCTGCCGATCTTACTTTATGAGTGCTAAAACCTTTCTGAAGTATTTCGGTCCTCCCAAAATTGATCTTGTGTCCTGTTTCTGTTGGGGACGATAGATCCCCAAACTCATATTTTAAATTTTATCTTATCGATCAAATGTTAGATATTTTTATTGGGGTCAATTGATGAACTATCGATTAAATGCGCAAATAGGTCAATTAATGAACTCATTGATTAATGTTTAAAAATTTTCTATCGATTGTAAATAATTGTATAAATACGCTTGACTTGTATGCTTGATCTGATCTGCCTGCCTGACTTGTGATCTGCTGTTTGTCTGTAGAATACACTTTCTACACCTTACCCAGACTTCTTGATCGAGTTAGCAGAGTTGGGGACAACGGACCAGAATAGGCTATCGAGATTCTGAATCCTTGATCCGATCGATAAGTCACTGTCATATAATCGGATCTCTCTTTGAGCCATAACAGTTTCCAACGCATATGACGCCATCGCAAACTTATTCTCAAGTTTCTTTAGATCAACAGAGGATTTGGGAACATTTTTCTAACACTGTTTATGTTCCTCCAACCTTACATTTAATTGTCTGGAAGTTTCTCCCACATAAACTGCATTACAATCATGACAGTTGATCTCAAAGGTAATATTTTATTGTTCTTTTACTATTCTCAATATTATTTATATTTAAGCCAGTACAATTGTAGCATTTTTCCTTAACTTATTTGTTATATGATGTATTTGTCTTCTGTTAAATAATACTTTTGTGGGAAAATGATATTTGAAATAATCTCGGTGATTGAAATTTAAAATAATTCCAACGTTGAGATCGCTGAGATTATTTCAAATGTAATTTTCACATATAATGACTAATCTATACTCGGCGCCTAATTTTGATGAATATTAGTATAAAATACAACTTTTGCTTTATGCTTTTCTCAAGATTTATTGCATTTATGTAAACAGTTGTGAATAATCGTTTAGATATTTCCATTAGTTTATCAATACTCTCGGTTTTTTTTCAGTGGAAGGTTAAACGTTCTAGCCAACGTTTGTCGTAAACCTTTGGATGATATATTTTGTCAGTTCGACTCTAAATTGGAAGCTTGTGACGAAGGTAGTGGTGATGTGAAATATCATTTAGGCATGAGTCATCAACGATTAAATCATATGACAGGCAAGATGATTAATCTTGCAGTATGTGCTAATCCAAGTCACTTAGAAGCTGTTTGTCCGGTCGCTCAAGGTAAAACCAAGGCTGAACAATTTTATCGGTAAGATTTTACTGTCATTTTGTTGCAATTTATTTTTATGAGAGATGTGTAAATCTATTTTTATTTGTGTGATGTAGAAAATAAGATACTGCATAGTAATATCATCATCATTATGATCTGAATTTGATACGGCAATTCGGATATTTATTTTTAGATTGTATGAAAGTAACTAGCTTATTAACGTGACTCTGCAAAATGAAGGTTAACTTTATCAGGTTAAGATCCGTCAGTTAGTCACAACTCATTCAGATCACTGATCATGCAACTTTATGATTTGAGACTTGATCAAATATAGATTACTCTTGAAGTCAACGATAGTTTTCTAGGATCGTTCACGAAAACACTTGCAGGCTTCTTTGAAACAAATTAAATCTCCATTTATTCTGTTCTTATCTGAATATTGTTTTCTCTTCGAGTTTTTGCTATTAGTACTGTATTGATTTTTTCATGTTCATTTTATAATCTCATTATTTTTTGTGTGGCGTTTTCTATTAAACCAAGTATTTGTACTGTTCAATGTTAGTTTTTACATGAGATCGCTTCACATATAGAGGTTCTAGTTTATTTCTTTTTTTATTTGGCTTGTAAATAGGAAATAACAATTTTTCTAAAAAGTGATACTTTAGCAATATGTATTCATTGTTTTTTTTTTCATACTCTAGGGGTGATAGTGATGGAAAGAAAGTTATGTCGATTTTAATTCATGGAGATGCAGCATTCAGTGGTCAAGGTGTTGTTTATGAAACTTTCCATCTTAGTGATCTACCTTCTTATACAACTAAAGGTACCGTTCATATTGTCGTTAATAATCAGGTAAATTGTATTTAATGATAAATACGATTTTAAATTATCTTCAGTTATTTGTAACACTACATCACCCTTACAAGATATTAAAAAAATTTGATTTTTTATTTTAACTGACCTAATTAATTATGTGATCCATCAAATCTTGTCTGATTCATCTCACACTACTTTTTTTTTTATCTTAAAGAAGATTTCAGCCAACCACTACTGTTTCATTGTTCTTCTTCAGTGCTTTTTTTCACTATTATCAAAGTAGGTAAATATACACGTTTCAAATATGATGAATATTCCTTCAATTAATATCTAAAGTTTAGGAGTAGTTCTCACAATTTTTATCAGGTATTCAGTATCCTGTTAATGTAATGATCAATGTATTGATTACTTTAAATATATCATCCTATGTAATAATGACAAGTGTAGATTGAAACATTTGACAATTTCACTGGTTGAAATCATGAGTCGATTGAAGCTAGACTACCATGGAAAACCTGGAAGCACTGGACGGCCGTTTCGTCTTAGTATGGGACTCCCCGGCAGTGCGTATTCACAATCCCGCTCCCCGCGAGATTCGAACCCAGGACCTATGAGTCTCGCGCCAGGCGCTTAACCAACTAGACCACTGAGCCGGCATCTAACGGTGTTAATGTCTAACAATTATTTGATTTATTATTGTGGTAATATTTAGGGTAAATTTCTGTAGTTATAACTAATGGGAATCAATAAAGTGTTATGAAGATCAAAGTTGACTGAACTGATTGAATTCATTCAACACTTTTTACTACATAATTATCTATTAATATTAGTTTAGTCAGTCTAAGTATGTTGGTTATAAATGATTCATGATTTAATCTATTGACCTGTTTAATCAATGGAATTTTTGTTTAGAATATCAGAAAAGATCACCTCATTTCTATACTTTTTTCTCACATACAATATAATTTGTTTCTATTTTGAAAACAAGACAACAACAACAAAAAATCAAATCTCAGTCTTTTTTTGTAGGTCAAGGGTAAATTTATAAAAATGTACTTTACTTGATCAACTTATAACTATTTATTATAAATTCTCAGTTTTTTATTTATTTATTGGTGACCGTCTGTTGCAGCTATGCTCAGATAACTGCCTGTTTCTTGTAAATACTAACTTTAAGCATAAGGAAAAACATCTTTTGATATGGCGACCCCTGGATTCGTCCCAACGTTGGACCCTAATAGATCACATCGCTATCAGCCACTGATGGAGGGACTCGATAGAAGACTGTCGCTCATTCTGGGGCACATGCTTAGACTCAGATCATGCTCTAGTGCGAGCACGTATTTGCTTGCGTCTTACTGGACGTAGGAAAGACGCTGCAAGAAAACCCCTTAGGGGCCTACTTAATGGTAGTCAAGCTAAGAGTATATTTCAGGAACAACTAGGAAAACAGTTAGGCAGCCATGTATGTGATGCCCACCCCGATGCAGCATGGAATGATATCCGAAAAGCTGTAGAAACAGCAGTGATATCTGCTAGTAAGGTAAACCAGAAGGTTAGGAAGCAACACTGGATCTCAGCAGCATCTATCGCACTGATAGATGCTCGGAAACTCATTCCACCTGGTTCTGAACACAATGAAGAGCGGAGTCAGCTTAAGCGCAAGCTGACAAAAAGTCTACGCAATGATCGTGAACAGTGGTGGGTAGCGAAAGTAAGAGAGATATAAAAGGCAGCGGCAATAGGTAACAGCAGACAACTGTTCAGACTTGTTAAGGAAACCGGTATTAGGAACCCAACTGTTAGCGAGACTATCTCAGAAAAAGACGGAAATATTATTCATTCTCAATCCAGGAGATTGACTCGATGGGCAGAACACTTTAGGGATCAGTTCAACTGGCCTTCAGCCACACTTCGGTTTCCTACGATCTCCAGTCGACCTCATTGGCAAGTTAATATAAGTCCTCCAACTCTTTATGAAGTCGAAAAAGCTATAGGAAATCTGAAGCGAGCGAGAGCAGCAGGCCCTGACAGGTTTACCACCGAGATTTTTAAGGATGGTGGTCCAGTATTAGCAATGAGATTAACCGAGGTCTTAGATAGAATTTGGGAACTGGATGTAATCCCATCTGACTCATCTCAATCACTGATTGTGCCAGTCTATAAGAAAGGACAAAAGTCCTCTTATGACAATCACAGAGGAATCAGTTTGACTAATATAGTGTCTAAAATATTAGCTTCAATAATACTTCGTCGCCTAATCACAGCTCGTGAAGAGCAGATTAGAGAAAATCAGGCCGGTTTTCGACCTGGACGTGGTTGTATAGACCAGATATTCACACTACGTCAGGTTCTAGAACACAGACACACGTTCAAACGCCCCACAATCGTAGTATTTCTTGACCTTAAGGTGGCATTTGACTCTGTTGGTCGGGAGGTCCTATGGCAGTGTTTTTCACTGAAAGAAGTACATTAACCTTATAAAGGCTCTCTACTCGAACACAACTGGTAGAGTGAGAGCTTATGGCGAACTGTCATCAGAATTGACTGCCTCAAGTGGTGTTCGTCAGGGCTGTTCACTCTCTCCATTCTTGTTTAATTTTGTCTTTGACGTGCTTTCAAAGATAACACTTTCTTCATCTAAATTTTCAGAAGTTGAACTTTTACCGGGAGATTCACTTGTTGACTTAGAATATGCCGATGACATAGTGCTATTTGGTGAAGACGCTGACAAATTTCAGAGTCTTCTGACCACTCTAAGCAACAATCCAAGCATGTTCGGAATGCGATTCTCTCCCTCGAAATGCAAGATGTTGCTTCAGGATTGGGTTGCATCGACACCTGTACTAACGATAGGAAGTGAATTAGTTGGGCGTGTGTTTTAATCTCTCTTCTTACAGTATGACCCAGCTATTCTTATTGCTTAGCATTCTTGGACACCAAATCACTAGACAAGTCGTTCCGTCCTACTTTATGGCAGTGAAACATGGCCGGTAAGAGTAGAGGATATTCGTAGGTTACTAGTATTTGATCATAGGTGTCTTCGAAACATTGCTCGTATATCCTGGGACCACCGAGTAAGTAATGCAGTTGTTAGGAAACGGGTTTTAGGTAAGGATGACAAATCAATTGATGAAGTAGTGAAACTTCATCAGTTGAGATGGCTGGGACACGTGTTACGTATGCCCAACGACCGACTGCCTCGACGTGCAATGTTCACTGGTATAGGAGTAGGTTGGGAGAAAGCTAGGGACGGCCAGACCAAAACATGGCACAAATCCATGAAGTCATTGACGAGTGGACTGAGCCATGTTGTTAGGTGTAGGTGTAGACTACCTAGTTGGGATCCGCGAGACGATAGCAACCGATGGTTACAGATTTTGAATGACATGGCTCAAAATCGTTTGCAATGGTACAGGTGCATCCACTCTTTGTGTTCTCCCGAATTCTAATCTGAATTCTTTATGTCCTTTTCTTCTCTTTCCAAATTTATTTCACTGGATTATACTCTTTGAATAACATCTTCAAACCCTAGTCTTACCGATTACTGCTTCTACTTTTACTACCTCTACCACTACGGTATTTGAATTGATAATTGTATCTTTGTGTTAATGTTATATGGCAACTCAAACTGATGTACGTACGTACGAATTTCTGCGTTGCTTCTGACTAAATGTATTCATTAAATAAAGTAGTTTACAATAATTATTAACTTAATACAATTTAAGCATTAATTTTCTTCTCTTATTAGTAGTTTATTGAAATCAAAGTGATTTTTTACTTTTGGGAATTTATACTTTCTATTTACAAACAACCTAATAAATTTCGTTAAGTGTTTTGTCTAATTTAGTTCAATTTAAAGATAGTTTTCATCGTGTTGTACTAGTTCCAGCTAAAGAACTAAAAATTAAGGTGATAGTGAATAGCTGTTTCATTTTTATTTGGTATTCTTCAGCAGTTCATAATCATGAACCAATACAGATTGAACTCAGTTCTTGTGATAAGTAAACCATCTGCAAACCAATAATTTTTAACCATATGATCTATATTTACAAATTTGATGAATTCGTGATATAGCGCCATCCAATTTTATAAACTAAAAAAGATGCAGATAATATATTGCTTCGGAAATATGATTTTTATGGACTTTACCTCCGGCTTGCTTTATAATCTATGTAGTAGAATAGGTCAATAGTTAACATCATTACTTATCAATTTAGATTATGACAAAATGAATGCTTTTAATTTTTACTCTTTTAATGGGATATATTTTACAGATTGGTTTTACCACTGACCCTCGTATGGCTCGTTCATCACCATACTGTACTGATGTTGCTCGGGTAACGAATTCACTTATTCTTCATGCAAATGCTGATGATCCTGAATCAGTCATGCATGTTGCAAAAGTTGCTGCTGAATGGCGATCTGAATTCGGAAAAGATGTTGTGATTGACCTTGTCTGTTATCGCCGTTCAGGTCATAATGAAATGGATGAGCCAATGTTTACTCAACCACTTATGTATAAACGTATTCGTGAACAACCAACTGTATTAGAACAATATAGTAAGAAGTTAATTGATAGTGGAATTGTCACTGAACAGGAATTTAAGGTAAATTAATATCAATTTAACATATTTATTTGAATAGTTTAATTAATACCAATGTTTAATTTTGTATACAGAGTTGTTCCCATTATTCATATTAAGTCACATAATTATAAATCACCGATCGTAGTTAATGTGAATAATTCAGATATTGGTTTAAACAATAGTGTAATGATGCACCTTATGTTTCCAGAAAACATCAAATTACTTTGTACTACTCATTTCCATAAAAGGGATGATCCTGTTCATATTATAATATCTGGTTATGAGGTTCTCTTCTGATATGTGTTAGTGAAAGTAAAATATGATGATTGGTCACTGATTGTAAATAGACAGGCACTTAGCCTACTGACCATTAAATATGTGATTTCTCTTCCGAACTCATTGAGTGTGCTTGCAATCGTCGTTGAATAAAGTATTGTCTAGTATAATTTTGGTTTTCTATTCTGGGTCGTAAATTCTGGTTCTGATATGACGTGACTAATCTTATTAACCTTATTAAAATAATCAATTTATTGTACTGTCCGGTTAATAAACTTGTTCACTTCCTCAATCATGTATTAACAGAGTAATTAATCTGTACGAAACTTGCCTCCGAAGTCATAATTTTGTGTTTAAGAGTAAATCATTGACCAATAAACCAACCTGCACCCCCCAAAAAAATGAGAACATTAGCAATAGTGAGAAATATAGCTTAATAAAACATTCATTTCTACATAGATTTTTCTATATTTATTGGAAAACATTTCATTTATTTCCTACATTATATTTCAGGACGAAGTGGCTAAATATGATCAGATATGCGAAGATGCTTATGAATTAGCTAAAAAACGGACAGTTACACATAATCGTGCTTGGATTGATTCTCCATGGCATAATTTCTTCGAAAATAAAAATCCAATGTATTTACCTAATACGGGAGTCGAAAACGATGTCTTAGAACATATTGGTAGGTTTCCATGGGGATTTTACTGGAATGTTATCGTTTACAACATTATTTTCCACCTTATTCGTTATTTCCGTCCCGGTGCCAAGCCCGGATAAAGAAGGAGGTTTAATGATAGGAACAGCAACCCTACTCCGTAGTAAACAATCCTGCCAAAAAACGCTGATTAGAAAAACACAATTTAAACCATTCAAACTCTGGCCTGGGAGTTGAAGAATCTCCACTTGCAAGAATTATAACGTCTCATTGTGAAAGCCGAGAATTTTCGGAAATCACGAGGTCGTTAACTATTCCAACAACCAAAGTAACAATTAATATCTGTAAATAAAATGTCCGGACAATATAGGAAATAGGAGGATCGACCAAATAGCTGTGGAAATGAAGCGGTACAACTTAACGGTCCTCGCATTAAGTGAAATCTGTTGGACCAAGGCTGGACAGAAAAGGATAGATTCGAGAGAGATATTGTTGTACTCTGATCACGAAGACCCAAAAAGAACGCAATGCACTTATAGGATGGGAATCTCATGGATCCAGGATCATCAAAGGATCCTTCAAAACGAAGGAGAGATTCACAACGAATGTTATCCTGTGCTATGCACCCACCAACGATAGCAATGAAGACGATAAGAATCAGTTTTATCAGACACTACAGGTGATCTTAGAGAAGTGCTCAGTGAAGGACCTGATCTAAACTTTGAAGCCGGAATGGATAACACCCAATATGAAGATATCATGGGACAACATCGAGTCAGAGAAAGGAATGAAAATGTTAAAGGATTCACAAATTTATGTGCATTCAACAAAGTAGTTATAGGTGGTACAAAATTCCTCCACAAACGCATACACAAAGTTACATGGGTCTCACTGAATCACACCACGGAGAACCAGATTGGTCATATTTGGATCACTGAAGCATTCAGAAGGTTAGTGAAAGTCGTGAGAACCAGGAGAGGAGCTGACATCACCACCAACTGGTGGTTGCCAAGCTAAAAAGGCATTGGACAACAAGAGAAACAGTATTACAAATGTTTAATACAGCCTTCCTTCGACATACTGGCAAACTCATCGAATTCAAGATAATTCTCAACAACTGGTTCCAAGCCTTACAAGATCTACTAAAAGAAGAAGAAACTACTATGGAGGACAATCGGAAAGGGATCAAAGAAGCACTAATTTCAATGTGTCAGGAGGTTCTAGGCCTCAAGAACCATCATCATTGGGAATAGATATCTGTAGAAATACTGGATACGATTCAAGAAAGGAAAACATAAAGACAGTAATCAGGAACAGTCGAACAAAGCAGAAAAATGCAAGTCTTTTGGAACTGCTGGAACTAGGAAAGAATGAAGCTGTCGTATACTGTTTCGAAACTTCCGTTAGAATTATCACTGCTTTCACTCCGTAACAATACCATACAATTCATTCTCCTTCGCTCTCTTTGTTTTTGGTTTATCTGCATGTTAGTGCACGTTAAATGTATCTCGTTCCCAATGTATTTCATGTTAGACTTCTAATATTGCTTTGTTGTCTTATTTGCCACACAACTATCTAGCCTAAGTATATCACGCTAAATTCATTCTGGAAGTATAATCACTACAGTCATTTGCATTTCTTAGACCTATGTGACGTTGGTTTAACTTGAATTCATAATAATAAGAAGAGAATACAAACATGGATTCTTTTAAATTACTAGACGTTTCAATGAGTAATGAACCATATGATTGATCTAAAAACGGTCTCCAGTTGTGCGTGGTCATCGTTACGGATGAATAACCCGATGTGTCAATGGTCTAACCATACAACAATGCAGCACAGATATATAGGTTAAAGTTGTCATTATATTCCAAACTTATCGTATAACGAAGGGTAATTTTATGTAGATTTAGATAATAAATAGATTACCGCCATAGTATTCACTCAGTTGAATAAATAAGAAAGCCATTTCAAACGAACATGATCTATTAAACATATAGCACTCTGATGATCAATGCTAGACAAGTATTTTGAAAGTTGTATGCAATATCATCAGACGGACTACTTACTGCTAATATTTATCTATATATTGAGAAATCAGTACTGAACTGAAATAGTCCAAAATGCTAAATTTCTTTATTGCATTATATTTAAGCTACGTAATTGTTGAAATTTTTGTTCAAAAGGAGATGTTTTTTACTCACTATAAAAAGATTACAATACAATTATATTTTGTTTTTTTTTGTAATTGTATCTGATGGATAGCAAAAATGACTCAAGAGAATAATCATAGACTAATTAAAATGTGCACAATATTAACCCATATTATGTGTGTGAAACAATGAGGTATAGTTTCCTTATAACTTATCTAGAACTCAAGTTGGGTTGAGGTAATCGAGGCAGCACAAAAAGTGGTTGTATAGTTTCCTTATTATTATTATTCCGTCTTGAATCTAATGTTTCATTAAACTAGATTTTAATAGTAATATAAGTATCCTCTTTTGTAGGTCACGCAATTAGTGAACCTCCTGAAGGTATGATTATTCATCCAGGTTTGAAACGTGCACTCAAGGAGCGCAAAGATTTATTAGAACAGAAAACAGCTAATTGGGCTCTTGGTGAATTGTTTGCTTATGGATCATTGCTAAGAGAGGGTGTTCACGTTAGACTATCAGGTCAAGATGTGGAACGTGGAACATTTTCACATCGACATTGTGTTTTACACGATCAGGTATATTGTTCATTTTTAATATGAATATAATGTATTTTATGATGACGGGGAAATAGAAACGATTTGGTGACTATGAATTACAGTATGATACAATAATATCCAGGCTATATCGCCTTGTATACGGATATATAACCAACAAGTGAAAATCAGATTATAGGCTACAAGCAATCCGTACGTGATGAAACCCAGAGTAGAAATCAATAATAGAAAGGAATTCAAATAGTGAAGAGAGGTTAGAGATCTCTGTCTTCGCCAACTGCCCGAAGATCAGTTTATTTTTTTAAGTTAGTATCGATTGTAAGGCCCCAGCATAATGATAGTAAACGTTTATATATATATATATATATATATATATATATATATATATATATATATATATATATTCACTACAATTTAACTGCATAGGGTTTTAATATTCTATTTCTAAGTATAATCTGGCAGTCGACAAGTGATCCTAGACCTACTTTTCGTGCCGTTTCAGATTCATCAACACGGTATACCTGTAATCTTAAGGGAACTGATGCACCCTGGTATATTCGACCCCGTATCACTCAGTTCCACAGTCACAGACGTTATCACCAGGTTATTTGCCCAGCGAATAACCTGTTGGACTGAGGTACATTTACAACTGATTTATCACTGAATAGTGACTAATCGCCAGAAAATGTTTTAGGTATTTTTAGTGTTTTGAAGGCAACAACCTGTCCTACTACTTTCCTCTTTTGTCAGCAGCATAGTTTTCTGGTTTTAGTTTCTGTAATAGTAGTTGAAGTGTCGATCTGATAGAACAGCAGCAATTTCATGAAAACTGTACAGATCTAAGAAATAGGATGAATGATTTTTTACTCGAATTTGCATTCTACCCACCTAATATTCCACTGCGTTGTTTAATAGTTAGCAAATATTCACTTTATTAAGTTTGGTTGTTTTGAACAATTTATTGAACTAAATCCCCCAGATAGTCCATTTTTACATCTTGCATTCAAGAACAAACCATTAATTTCTTCACATCATGCATGGTTGTTCAAATCGTGCTTATCAGCAATTTTCTAGTCTTAATCCCCAAACTAGCATATTTAACTAAATGATGGACTTCATCATAGTTGTCTTACAAGTTTTCCAAACAAATTATTTATTTTGATGTTAGCACACTGTAAAGCTATCATTTTCGTATGCTGATTTTACCTTGGCTTATCTACTAAAATTTTGAAATTCGTGCCTAATTTCAATATATATTGCAAAGTATATCTAATGTTAGAACGCTTGCCACATTAAACTTTTTCTTTTCAGGAAGTCGATAAGAAAACATATGTTCCGCTTAACCATCTCTATCCTACACAAGCACCATTTACTGTATGCAACTCGAGTTTATCTGAATACGCAGTAATGGGCTTTGAGTTGGGTTACTCATTGACAAACCCTGAAGCTCTCGTTATATGGGAAGCTCAGTTTGGTGATTTTAACAACACTGCTCAATGTATAATTGATCAGTTTATTTCTTCTGGTCAACAAAAATGGGTACGTCAATCAGGAATAGTTCTTTTGCTTCCACATGGTTATGAAGGTATGGGTCCAGAACATTCTAGTGCACGTATCGAACGATTCTTGCAGATGAGTAATGATGAGGAAAATCATGTCCCTGTAAGTATATTGTTTCCCATGTTTGTTTTCTAGTTATGACTTGTACAGCGCATAGGTTTGATACTTATTCACAATTGTTTATCATTTTATATATTAGTTTCCAACATCAAATTAATAGAGCGATTTTTGTATACTGTCCGATGTATACGATAGGTATGTGTTTACCAGTTTATTCTAACCTACCTGAAATATATAGTGCCTTAACCTAGAGGCACTTAAAATTCATCATCATTCAAGTGTGTTGCTTCCGTTTGCATGGTTCAGTGAGTTGTCCGTACGTTGTCTGACATTATTTCAAATTGTATCACATTCTTTCGTGTTTTAAACATTTAAACTGAAGTTCGATGTTTGCCAGTAGATATATTATCTTGTCTGGTGTATCAGCTTGTGTTATCAGAAGACCGTGTTATCTTCGGAAGCGCTAAATAAAGTATTTCACTGTCATCTGAGCAGACGTGAGACATCTAGAAAGCTGGAACTATCACTTATTACTAGCGCTTTGTTGATTGACGTTGTTTTGTTAATACTTTACTGTTATCTTTCTTTTCCCATTTATATCATTGTGTTCAGTCGCCGTCAATGGTAAGCAAATTTAATGGGTCCATATGGCTAATCATTTTCTGCGTACATGTATTTTCTTTTCTGAATTCTACCGTATCATCAACAACTATTATAAAAGACTAATTGCAATCTGCATCTCCTAAAACAAATATTTGAATGTCAACTGTATTTTGATGAGACCATATGTATATCTGGACGGTACTAAATGCAAAAGCAGTCGTCCAATTTCAGCTTCATAATAAAAATGTCAAGAAAGTTTTTTTTAGAAAAATTGACTGACGACTTATTGAATCATGAATGAGATTTTTTATCCCGAAATGGCCTTAGATAATCTTTTTACTGTAAACATAGCGGTTAGATTAGATAAGAATAGATTAAGAAAGGTCTAAAGGTTGTTTGACCAAGCGAAAGCATTAGTCCATGACTCCATAGATTGTTGATTTTAGCTTTGTTGGGGAATACAGCCTTTCATCGTTTATGCTCCTGTTACTGATACCCTAGTACGACCGAGGGTGGAGAGAGTCCGCTCTTTCTCTCAGTATCCTCTCAAATGGCCACGTGTATACAGACACTGCTAGAGAAGTCCAACTCACTGTCTTCCTGCGGTGGAGTTCACCTAGGGGAGTTGTGAAAACCCTGATTCCAAACCAATGGTGCACATGGGCTCCAGCATCCTGAAGTAACAAATGGCGTATGAACCTATTGTTAGTCACCGGCTACTATGGGACTACATTTCTTAACGTTGCTCCACTGTCTTATGTAATAGACCTCTAGGTTAAAGGCTCGGGGAGTGGCTCCCTAAGAAAACCACCTGCTTCGGTTTTGGCACCCGGGCAGTATCCTCGCCTTCACACAAGTCTAATGAAGTGTGCGCATATGTATTTGGTGCCTCCTTTTAGCAAAATTTATGTGTTTAAATTAATAGAAATAAATTTCAATTGCTTTATACTATCTTGTTGTGGATTGTGATAACAAACGATTTCTGCTGTCTTAACTTTTTATATATTCTTTTCTACCAAAACTACTGTTTTGGCATTTAGTTGTTAGTAGATAACCACTGTGAGAATATTAAGGACTTTTCTACGCTTATTTATACATACTGTACTTGTTCTCATATAGTGCTATCATTTTGTATTACTTTATTGTGTATTAGCGCGCAAATATATTTGGAGATTGTTGTACACTTTTAGAATGGACAACTCGAATGCTCAATTTTGTGTATAGACTTGTACAAGTGATTATTCCGTCCATAAATCCGTATAGAGATAAACTATATACAAATTTACAAATAAATAATATTAGGTGTTCAAGAATAGAACTCCTAACTGCTTTCCTTTCACCCTTATAGAACCAGGCTGGAATATGTTCTCGTATCCGAGTTGAAAGCGAGCGCTGGCTACGGCCAATGTACCTTGCTCCACAAGAGCAGGTGAACTGGTAGATGCACATGGAGGCGACCAGACGCGGAAGCTTATCTTTTATGGATACAGAAAATAAGTTTCTACTAGTGAAGGATATTCGCAGTTTTGCCGCGTTAAATGTTCTCCTAATAGTTGTTGTTAGACGGTTTTTGATTACGTCCGATGTTCGGTCACCTTTAAATTCCAAACTTATATAAAGGTTTTTCCTTGGAACGGAACAACTAGAATTCTTCTCGCGACTACTTTTATTCATATTCTTTTCTATGAACCGTTCTGGGTAACCATTTTCCGTCAAAGTCTTCTTCAGGAATGCGAGTTCTTCGTTAATGCATTCCGTACTGCATATGTGATGTATGCGATGGCATAAAGAATGGATAAGGTTTCTCTTCCTACTTAACGGAACCCAGCTATAGAAGTTGGTTAGCTGTTCATTCCATGTTTGCTTTCTAAAGATGGATCTTTTTAAAGAACCATTACTCGTTCTCATCAGACGTACATCGAGAAAAGGAATTGATTGGTCTTGTTCCCTTTCTAACGTGAAGTTTATGGAAGGGTGGCACGAGTTAAAGGTATGTAGAATATCATCTAAATCAATATTATTGTCACAAACAACAAACGTGTCGTCCATGTATCTCACGTACAGGTGGAATCGATTGATCATTGAACGGAGTTGGTCGTTTTCTACTTTTGCCATAAAACAGTCTGCTAAAATTGGACCCAATGGAGACCCCATTGCGATCCCATCCCTTTGTCTATATATTTCATTATTGAAACTGAACTGGACATTAAAAGTACAGCGTAACAATAATTCTTTCAAATTTTCAGTTGGCAAACCTAGATCTATATTGTTAGAATCAATATACTCACATAAATAACATATTGTTTCGGTTAAAGGTACGCTAGTGAACAAAGAATTAACGTCAAGCGAGAACATGTGTTTTTCGGAAGCATTAACGTCCTTAATACGATCAATAAATTGAAAAGTATCATGAATAGAATGTTTACATACTTGCCTTCTAACCGGTTCCAATTTTTCCGCTAACCATTTGGCGATTCTGTGGTATGGAGAACTTGACATGTCCAAAATAGGTCGTAACGGTAAACCCAGCTTATGTATTTTCGGTAGTCCATATAAGCGCGGGATGACTGAACCCATGGGACGCATGTGATTATATAAATCTTGGGTTATTATCCCCTTATTCTTAAGATTTTTAACAACATCTGTTAGCTGTTTTTCGATTTGTAATGTTTTATCAACTTCTTTAGGTTTGGAGAATTTAGTACCATCCTCTAGAATTAACTTCATTTTATCCAAATATTCTTTGCGGTCAAGTAGTACTACACCAGCTCCTTTGTCAGGTTTACTTAGGATTAAATTTGTAATATCCCAATGAGTAGAAAAATTAGATTTGTTGACGTTTCGTGACTTATTGTAAGCCACTTCTTCAGAGAATAAATAAATAACCAAATCAAAAGTTTAAATGGTATGCAAATTTATGATATGTGCATAGTCGTTATAAAAAGTCAGGCATTATTCTACTTTTTATCACTCAAACAGTAACGTTCTCTCTTAGGAATTGTTACTGTCGACTTATTTTAGCCATTTTTATTGCATGTTGGAAAGAGCCAGAATATTTTTCGAAAGAAGCCCAGAGAGGCTTTTAAACGCTTGGAAACATTTTATTTATTCAGCACTAAATAGAAGTTTCTCTAAAGCATCTAGAAAGTGGAGCCACATGTCACATTTCTAGTTGGATGATTACTTATCCTGCTACTTTGTTTAGTTGGGCTCCAGAAGCCCAAAGCCATCTAAAATGCTATAAATACATGCTGCTAAAATAGTCAATAATTATAATCAAAAATCACATATTTTTTCTGTTTACAACTGTGTATTTTTTATAATATATCTCATTTTTGGACGAATTAATTCTAGTGCAACATTATGTGTTATGACGGACATAAAATTGAACCCAATAGTTGGGATATAATTCATTGGAGGGTGAAGAATCTACAAAATTGTTCAGTCGGTTTATGTCATTTGATCATACTTATTCTTCAGTTAGTATTCCGTGCATAAATTTATTTTTTTTACAAGAAAAAATTCTTCTGGCTAGTTTTATCGTTGATTCCAAATCATTTGGGGACTTACGTCAACAATACCGTCTCGTTAATAGCCATCATTTAATCATATCATCTGTCAATCAGTATTCTTTTCTTTCATTTTCGACGATAGAAAATTCGTTCATTAGATCATAAAAATTCTCCTTTATGACGTCTGTGGTGATGTATTTTATTGTAAAAAACAAAGGAGGAAAATTGCTTGAATAAGATACAGATTAGTCAATGTAGTTCAGGTCTGTGCTATTTGAAGTAATAATATGCAGAAAAATCGTTTCACCATAGAAAGTAACATTTGTTTAGTGTTTTTTTGCAAGGACTGTGTATCTCATAATTTATTCCTCTAATGGTGTAGTAAAATCGTCATATTATTCTTTTTATTAGAAGCCTCAACATTCTCTCTTGTCAATGATTTTCCTTTTATGTTTATATGGTTTACTGTTGACACTGAAACTAGCAATCATTTTTGTTCCAAGTAGTTGCTGCCGAAGGTGTTAATTGTATGCTGCTTAGTCTTTAGTATTACTAGCATTGGACATAGTTACCAAGTTATGGATCTGTCGTCTTACAATGCATTATCAGATTCATAGGAGATAAATTCCTTTGCGTATAAGTATCAATTGTTTGTAATTTCAATTAGCTATATATCTTCATTGATTTGTGTTTAGGAAAATGAGTTAAACCTTGAATGAAATGTGAAGTTTTCATGTGTGTTATTTATCTATATGATGGAAACAGTGGGTCTTTACCTGTCTTGATCACAGTATCCGGTGAAAAATCCTCTCTTTAGTTATTCAGTCATTGAATTCAATAAACAAGAAATTCATATCTGGGTAGCTGCGTTTATTTAGAAATGAGTTATTTCTGGGTAATCTTTCTGTTTGAATTGGAATACCTTTTTTTACGGTGAATATTCACTATAGTAATTACTATTTCTCATCAATTCTCAAAATTTACATTCACAAATCAACTTTGCTTGTTTATTTTTTAAAAAATGTAATTAAATTTATTTCTATAGAATACTAGAAAATTCTGTAAAAACGATTATGTTAAAATAATCTTGTTCAGAATACAAAATGTGACTTATTAATTTCTGTAGCTAATCTGTATATTTTAAAGAATGTTTTGTTAGGTAAACTGGATAATCAGGCGATTCTTTTTTCTTATCATTTTGCAAAATAATTTCTTTCATACTTCTTTCGTATAAACTAACAAAATATCAGCTTATCTGTATTTTTAGTAGAATTTCAATGTTATCATTTATATGAGTACATTTTTTGATAATCACGCTAGTGTGTATGTGTGTGTTCTTAATCTTGTTTTTGTGTTTTGATTAACAATTTATCACTAAAGCCGTAGCGTTGCACGGACAACTTTATTCTGTTTTACTTCTGGTACTAGAGTCTAGTAGAATACATCATCTCGTATACAATCAAAACATATTCATTAGCCAAATACTTTATACAATATAATCAGGTTTTAATGATTTTCATCATCGCAAAGAAAGAAATTCAATTATTTACACCTCAATCTTATCAAATATGTTTTTTTTATTTTCAAAAAATTTTTATTCTAGGTTTATAGTGATAATTTCGTCATGCAACAGTTACATGATACAAATTGGATTATTGCAAACTGTACTACACCAGCGAATTTCTTCCATATTTTACGACGACAAATTCTGCTACCGTTCCGTAAACCAGTAAGTGATTTGGGGTTCGTTGTAAAGTTCTTCATTCAACTTTTAAAGAGCGCTAGCCTAATAGTTAGGTCACCAATAGACCTCTGATTCAAACCTCCTTCAGTCGGGGTAATTATGTAGTATCACTAGTCCTCTACATCTAGAATATGACTTAAAGCCGATTGATTACACAACTCACGAAGTAAAGATTCGTGTACTTGGCTTAGAACTACACTATATGTATGACAGATTTTGGTGAAGTTTCGTTCTCTGAACCTAGAGGATGAAACTTCACAAAAATCATCCACTTGGACCTCGAATCCTTACCATCTCAATGACGATACTACCCGATTGCCAAAACAGAATTAGGTAAAACGGCAATCATACTCAGAATTTATTGTTTGAACGTCTAATCCTCTAATCACTAAATAACCACTACAAAAAATAAATCTCTGAAGTTAATCCTCTGATCATTAAGAAACGAGCGTGCATTCTAAGTGAACACAACCCATGATCTTGTATTTGTAAGTTCTATAAAACATCACTTCCAGATGATTATTAGGCCATAACGTATCAAATGTTTCCACCATGATTTATCAAGTTGTTTACTCAATGCTTTTGCTAAACAATAGTCGTCTTTGAGTGGTATAGATGAATTTAACCCGTTCATATATTTCAAAAATAAAAAAACTACTTAAGCAAGAATATGGTGGTTAGATAAATATCATTGCTTTTATTTTGTACAACAATATTCTTCCACTTTTATGTTCTTAATGACCTTCATGTGTGACTTTCGCAATTTTGTTTTAGCTGATTGTCTTCACTCCCAAGTCATTATTACGCCATCCGGATGCAAGATCGCCGTTCTGTGATATGCTTCCAGGCTCAGAGTTCCAACGCTATATTCCTGACAGTGGTCCAGCTTCACACAAACCTGAAAATGTGAAAAAATTAATTATTTGCAGCGGCAAAGTAAGTTTTATCATGTAATTTAAGTGAAATGTGATACATAACAAAATTTATTTGCTTCATTTGTCTTACGTTTCGAAGTGATCGTTTGCTGATTACACAACCAGGTTGTACTTACTGGATTATATGGGCGTATTATACTTATTCAGGTGTATGTTCGGTTCTTCACCGTGTATTTTCAAATCAGTATATTTTCGCCACTGATTATTGATACCCAGACTCCTTATCATTATCGACTTATTTACAAAACACTTTTCGAACATATTAGTTTTATTTTTGTATTTGCAAGAATAATTCTATGTTTATTTAAGAGCTTTACCAATTCTGCCATGCAAAATATTTTTCTACACTCTGTCGATCTTATTATCACTCCTAAACTGCAAGTATGTGGTAGTGTTACTTGGTTTATACAAGATTTCCAAAATATAAAACATGTTCACAATTGTTAATCCTACACCGTTGACCTATAATGTTTCAATTTATCTGGGACTGAGTACTTATATTTTATTTGCAGGTTTAATTGGATAAGTGTCAATGTCTTTCAAGTCATAAAATGTCCAAATGCTTGATTAGATGTTTGGTTTCGTTCTGTCGTTTCAAACCATATTCTCAATGTTCAGTCTTTCTTAACATCATTTCTGCTATACTATTTTGATTCATTTGCTTTCCATCTTTTTAAATTTACCTCTTGGTAATAATTTAACTCATCTACCAGTTAGTTAGATATGATGAGCCACACTCCAAATGTGAGGAGTAATGGCACTAAACGACTACCCAAACTTATATTAAGTGGAACGGGGCTCGGGCCCGGAAGTTGGTAGTCGAAAGTCAGACGCTTTAACCACTATGCCATTGCTAGTGTGCCATTGGCAACTTAGAGCGGCGTGTGTATATATGCCTGAAGCTCTGTGTAGATTTTATTTCATTGGTATAACCAGTAATCTAGAAATGTGCTTTTAATTGACTTTTATTTTTATGTTACCTAGTGCACATTGACTTTAGTAATCTATTTAGTCATACTACTATGCAAAATGACATTCAATAATTAACACTATTTCTTCATAGAGAAATATCTTTCCCGGTCCTTCTTTCCTCATTGAAATAAATAAGTTATAATCAATGAGATGTATACTTGTTTAATTTTCCTTGATTATTTAAGAAAAAAAGCCAAATTGTCTACTTCCCGTCTGTGATTATTCACTAACTTTTAGTTTTGTATACATAGAATATTCTTGTCAGCGTTTCAGTCGAAAACTATCAGTAGTTCCTTAGGATTGATTCTCATCAGGTTTCTCTATCTACGAAATTATATCTATTCCTAGTATCTTTTGTGACTGGACTTGTCCTGTGACCACCAGGATTTTAAATAGTTTCTCGTAAAACCATATCGTTTTTCAACTTTGTTGTTAGCTGTTCTAAGATTAATTCTATTTGTATTTCAAATAATAAAACCCATAATAATCGTTGATATATACATAATTTAATGTTAGTGAGAAGAAATAGATAGGACCGCAATCTATTCACAGCCCAAGTGATTAGAAAATTGAGAAGGACACTTCAGAGAACAATTCATTTATTTTTCAGTTATCTGCTACTCTAAAAAAGTTAGAATTTGAGATTAAAATAAACTTCTATCTGATTCTTTCTACTTTTTAATAATTTTTTAACCAACGTCACTTTATGGTGTTAATCTTCGTCAAATTCTTTTCATGATTACACATAAAAAATCGTAATTTCACATTTCATTAATACAATCACTTTAAAGCACTACTACAGTGAATATTCATGAGGCAGTGTTGTTTATATTCGTTTTATTTTTCAGATTTATTATGAATTAGATAAAGAACGCAGATCGATTAATCGAGAGGCAGATATAGCTATTAGCCGAGTAGAACAATTGACTCCTTTTCCATATGATTTGATTCAACAAGATTTAGAACGTTATCCAAATGCTGTTATTCAGTGGGTACAAGAGGAGCATAAAAATATGGGACCATGGAGTTATGTACAACCAAGAGTTAATCATTTAATATTTAGAACAATGCCTAATCGTCTTCACAATAAAATTTTGTAAGTTGACATATTCCCTTCTATTCCAATTATGATTTCTTTTCACTCATTTTTTTTCTGTTTTCCGCAACAACAATTAATAAACTTTTGTTTACTAAGTTTTCAGACTATGTGAACGTCTTTGTTTCCAAATTCTATATTAAAATGTTTATCGAAGTCATTAGTTGTATGGCGGTAAAACAGTAGTGAGCTACTATGCCATCTTCATGAACTTATTGCAATATGAATAAATTCATGTCTAAATTGCTCATAAAATGCTCATTTGTGGTCATATATATATAGAAGTAATATTTTATACAGCTAAATATGAACTATCTTTACAAATATTCATAATATTGTTACATTTTGCTGGTTAATTGTATAACTTTTTTGATATTTCACACAATCAAAAGGGAGCGAAAGGATCTACAATGACCAAACTGATTGTAAAACTATCAGCAATGATTTTGTATATTGTTATCTATCAGTTTACTCATATTAACCAAGAAAACCTTTTATAACCGGTTTCTTTATATCTATGAAACAACTGTATGGTATTTTCTAGCTTTCTTTTTCGTTTATATTACATTGTTTTTCTACGGACAACTGTTACTTTTGTAGCAAAAACTAGGGATTAAAATCTCATAGCTCTACTGTTTACATGATTATTATTATTGTACAATCAACCTTATTTTTACGGAACACTATATATACCACTTGTGAGTCATCTTGTTACATTAGTAATTCTCAAATATTGATTAGTAAAGCTGAATTCGAACATATTAAATCGTATATGAACATCTCGGCGGACCAGGCACAGTTTTACTTTTTCATATATGTAGGTTATATATCAAGCATAATATCGGATTAGATATGCTGTTTTATGTATTTGTATCACTTTAATCGTTACAATTACGTTGCTGTTTAGTTTTATTAAACTTTAATTTTATTAAATCCTCACTGTTTTTAATTTTATTTTAGATATGCCGGTCGACAACCTAGTGCTGCTACAGCTGCTGGGAATAAAGCAATGCACTTGATGGAGATCTCTCATTATTTGAAAAATGCCCTGTCATTATCTTAGTTTTGACAGTTCCGTAAAGATTTATTTCGCTCTTATATAAAGTTTATTAATTAACTGATTCTCTGAGAGACTTCTTTTAATTGTCTTTTAGTTTACCCTATTTGTCATTTTGTCTCAATTTCATCATTATTTATCTTAACACTTGTTGTTGTACGTGTAGTTGATTAGAATTTATCGCACTGAATTGAATGAAGATATTTCAACTATATGTAATATTGAATTTCTCTGCTGTTAATTAGTTGCTTTATGTAGTTGATTCCTTTCATAAGTAGTTAACACACCATTCATTTTCCTAAATTTAATAATGTCCTTCAAGTTCATTAACAAATTAGAAAGTATCGACGTCCTTCTTGGTTTTCTATTGTTTGTCAAATTTATCATCGGAAATGAGCCTGTTCTATTAATTGTGTAAAGCAATAGTTAGCAATTTCAAATAGTACTAGTCTGCATGCATTTTTAACGATCGTAAATGCTGCAGTTTTATTTATTTCATCATGTATCTTTATAACTACTTTTAGTACATTTGGTTATCTCAACAGTTGCTGCTACCTTAAGTTGATGATCGACCTTACCTATCGTAACGAACCAATCGAGCTATACTGGCTGAAACAATCGTTCCTCGATGTCCTACCATGCCAGACAGGTCGATTGAAGAGCGGTAAGACTAAAAGCAACAAACCCAAGGTCCGAGGGTGAAAGTCGTACAACTGACTGTGCAAAGTTGTGACGGCAGTAAGGTGTTTCCTTCAGATAACCAGCATAACAGCGGTGCTGCCTTCCCACAAGAAGGGGTGGGGTTACAAAATGTCGACCCTAAAAATGCACACCACACCTTATCCCACGGATATCTATCTCTGGCGATAAAATCCCAGCAAGTTCGGAAAAGTACTCACAAAAAAAGTATGGGTCTGACCTCAGACAGTTGTCCGTTAGGCACTGCGGTCACGCTCTCATGTCACTAAGACCACTCCTAACCTAATTTCATTTTCAGGTACCGCCAGACGGACGCTTCACGGTGTGAATGACCGCCTCATACCTCTAAAATCAGGCAATATTGACCACTGGTTATATGTTTGCGATCATTATTTTGTAAAGGCTTACAGACCTACTGTAATCCTTAGTATGATTGATAACATCATTAACTCTTTGCACCACCTATCTCTAGATCTTCACATAAGTGTCAATATAGTGAGTTGTTACGTAACCACTCCTATTACATCCCATGTCTCTGTGAAACCATAGGTCTTGGTTTCCTAACAGTGATGAGTTTGTCACCATGTAATCTAGAACTATTTTCAGCTATTCCTGATTATACTGTTTAGTTTCCTATCGCATGGTAGCGTGTAGCCAGGGGTGAGAAAACGGGCGGGTATCTGTTTGATATCAGTATATGAACCATTAGTTCGACCTTCAGCTCTTGATTCATTTATTTCGGTGACAGTCCACTTGTCGTGTATATTATGACTTCACGTACGTTGTACTTAAACTTTTGGCATACTCAAGTGTTGTTTTGTAATGTGATTCCCTTCAATACTTTGTTGAATCTATATAGAAAGTGGACTACATCAAAACACTCATTGTTTGCGGTTGAGGAATTTTACTCGAACTAAGCGGTTAAACTCGAGTCACGAAAATACTGAGAACCAAACTCAGTCAGAAACTAGATGTTGAGAAAAAAAGTGCTCTCTTCACGTAGCTGAACTGTTTCATCAATTTTCTGAACATCATCAGAACGAACTTCCACTCGTAGTTCAGAAAAGCGATTAAAGATCCACAATAAAACTTCATAAAAATCACTCATTTGAACTAGATGACTTCACCACCTGGCAAACAATACTGTGATATTTGTACTTGTCTAAGCGTTCATTACAAATTCCAAACATAATGAGACTATTTGTGCACATCTGGTTTTACCTGACTTATTATTCTGGGAATTCCGAATTAGTACACCTATTCGGAGAGTTCTAATTGTCATATTTACCATATTTGGAGGGTTTCTCAACTGGTAAACCAAGGAATTTATCCACCTGAATGAAAATCACCATTCTTCGTTAAGCATAATACAAGCTGGAATAGTTTAGCCATATTTACATTCTCCAATCTTTGAGTATGATGTCTTTCATGAGTGAAAATCTCAACTCAGGACAATTTTAGTCTGTGGAGATATGACTGACAAGCTTATTTTGTAAATAGTTTTTAATATTACTTGTATTTACTCTACTCATAAGCATGTTAAGTAATCCGTTGATTGGACATGATGTCACAGGTATTCAGTGTTTGACAACGCTTCTACCAGTAACACCTAATATATTTCGTTCCCGCCCAGAGAAATCAAAAGACAGTCGAGGAGATCGGAAGAGTATATTTGGCGATGACCAATATATCGGAATTCTCTGGTCTAATCTGGCTAGCGATTGCGGTTGATGTTGAGCACGGCGTTACCACACGTGATCTGGTGCGGATGCCTGACCAAGCGCCTTCAGCTAGGTGAGTCCACTAAAACATATGGTCAGCATCCAATGTCGAAAACTTAATGCTATTTATTTTGGGGATTAATTTACCGCTACAGACACAATTTCAGAATAAATTATAAGGGTTGTATGCTCTAAGATATTTCATACTTTCAAAATAACTTCCGAATGTCCCCATCTCAAATCTAGACCTGTACAATAGCTGGATGCAAATATTTCATCTTGAAATTTCTGATATTTCTCTGAAGCTAACTCGTGATCAACTCCCTACACATAAACGATGAGCAAGCTGATTTCAACTTCGTTAACTTTCATACAATTAATTTTAGTATTCTGTAGGGATCTATTGTCTTCGTCGCTTTTCTTTCGAACAAAATGTTTTGGTGTCATTTGCACACTTTTCGTGTTGGAGTTTTTGGAGATTCAAACTAAGGTTTCTCACAAGCTACCAAGGCAACCAATCAAGTGTGCATGTTCGATTTTTCTGTAACCATTTTTGCCGTTGCCTCGAGTAATTTTCAGCATGTTTTCTGGGTCTTTCAAAGACTATGATAAACTTTTAAAGAATATATATTCTCTCGTTCATTGCTATACTTTATACTCATCATGACCGAAAACTTACAACATAGCTCAGCAACAATCATGTTAATGTGACTGAGAGGTCAACGAACTTTTGACGAAGGATTGTTTAGACAACATTTTTTGTCTAAGCTTCCTAAATTGATGCAGTCAGTGCTTGCCTCATTTCAAAACAATGCCGTGTACGAGCTGGCTGCATCTGCGACTGAATTCTAGAGATCACCAGAACTTCAAACGCTGAGGCCTATTCAGTCAAAAAAACATCAAACGACACGAAATGACGTTACGGCGCATTGTCAAGCTGCCTTAATGTTTGTGGTGACTGTAAACTCTCACATACTCTTCAGAAGTGTACTTCACGAAAACGATCTGTCTCTAGATCACATGAGACAGATAAGACTGATTGGTTCTGATACCGCCCGACATGAAAAACGTTTCGGGAAACTTCCCAGCCAGCACGCGTTAACGCCAACCGTAGCCGGCTACCTCGTCGACACCGACGTTAGCGTTCTTTCGGCCAATTCTATCGACTCCTTGAAGCAGATTTGAACGTACAGGCGTCAAATGGGAAACCGATCACCGCATACAGTTGGCGATATGTTCATCTTTACGTGGGCTTACAAAAACACATCCACTGGATCTTCGTTGTTGCAGATATTTCTATGCCGATCACTGGTATATGCCTGCTACAACATCGTTATTTACTCATCAACACGTGCAAACGGAGGTTAGTAGACGGAATTAATAAGCTATCTGTTTGTGAAACTTCTTTATCCGGTTGTAGATTATCCCCAGTCATAGAAAGGCGAACGATTTGTCCATACTACCAATGAATACGCGTTTAGTGCTCTGTAGCGTGCCAAACGCAACCGAAATTACAGCGTGTACCCAGCGATGTTAAACATGACATAACAACTACAGAACCATATGTATTCTCGAAAGCGCGACGACCAGCTCCCGTAAAGCTGAGGTTGACTAAAATCGGATTCGATCACATGATAGGTTTAGGGGTCATTCGACCGTCAAACAGCTCATAGCCATCTCACTTGAATATGGTCCATACAAAGGACAAGAACGACTGGAGTCCATCTGGTGACTACCGGCGATTGAATGCGGAAGCCATTCCTGATCGTCACCCGTTGCCCCACATTAACGATTTTATAGATATCTTAAAAGGTACAGCTGTTTGTTTGAAACTCGACTTAATCAAAGCATATAACCGAATTCCCATGGCTGCTGACCACATTCCTAGAACCGCTATCATCACACATTTCGCTTTCAACGACTTCATACGCACGCATTTCGGTTTAAGAAATGTTGCACAAACTTTCCAGAGATTCATCGATGACATTTTTCGAGATACCATCTTTGTACATGCGTTGTATATGACTGCTTGAATGAAAGTTCGGGCACATAATCTCTTCTCCAGTGTTTGGACATTGACTTCAAACGAATGCAAAACACGTCATTCCCGTAAACATTGAGAAGTGTTGAATCGGAACCGACTTCCGAAATTTTTCAGGACATATTATTGGTGACCGAAGCATCTGACCTATAAAAAACAAAGTTGCGGCCATTAAGGGCTATCTGGAACTGACCAAATTCAAGAAATTACGTTAGTTTAATGTATTAGTAATTTTCTATAGACAACTCTACTAGACTTCTAACCAACTAATTTCGTGGATATGCGAAATCCATCATTCTGAACGATGCTGAGAAAGAAGCATTTTCAACGGTTTAGAAACTTACTACCGAAGCAACAATACTTGGACACAGCAGGACACCAAAGCACCAGTTAGTATTTCAGTACACGCATCCCTTTCGTCGATCGGAGAAATCTTACAACAACGTGTTAACTACGCAGGGCAACCTTTGGAATTCTTCTAGAGACGGCTGCTAGACACCGAATTGAGGTATAGCACACACGGTAGGGAACTCCCAGCTTTGTAT